GTCATTTGTTCAAGTGGACAAAATGCAGGTTACTTTGATAAATCTGGAAAAATTTGAAGATCGTCTATTGTTAAATAGAGCAAAATGGATACAATTATCTAAGTTAATAATAAAGAACAATGTCTAACAAAAGATGAATTTCAGAAAGAATAACAGATCAAGACTAACAAATATCTACATTAGGAATGTGAGCAATTTTGTGCCAGTCCTCTCCTATCCCCTTCTCACACCGCTTTGTCAATGCAGGACAGCCATAAATTTGTAAACTAGTGCTGTTAGATGCTGCACTCCCTCAGGTAAACATTTTAGCATTTCACAGTTTTGAACATATAAGTCGGTGAGTGAAGTTAACCCTTCCATCCCTTGTTCGGGGAGACCCTCTAGTGCGTAACAATAATGAATTTTCAGACACTTCAAAGCATTGAGGCTAGCCAGGCTGCTTGGCAACTCTCTGAGTTTTTTGAAGTATATAATGCTCAAGGACTCAAGATTTACAAGGCGTATGAACATCTCTTCTGGGAGAGTAGTTGCTTGGAAGTTATGATCAATAGAGAGGGACGTAAGAGTGGTAAGCTTAGATATGGAGAGAATACTTGCTGCATCTATTTCCCCCCTGACATCCAATTTCTTGACAGAAGAGAATGCTGGAAAAACAAACATAGGGCAAAGCCATATTTCCATTTCTTCAAGCATGGAGAATTTCTCTTCTCCTTCACTTCTCAGCAGTCCTTTCAGATTTGGAAACCTTTCTATAGCGAGTCGTTTCAAGTATGGGAACTTTGATGTGGAATGACCATCATCCTCTTCAATATACTCCACCTCCGCAGATCCGTTGTATAACTTAAGACTTTCTAGATAAAGCAGCTCTCCAAACAGTGGTAAACGCCAGCAGTTTTCACATTCAATTTCAATAGAGACAACATTTTTCAAAACCGAAGCGTTCATCCAATTTGGAAAATGAAAACCTCTGAAGCCAATGAGCTTTAGTGATTTCAGGTTGGAATGTGGTCTGAGGGCTTCAAGCACTTTTTCATCCAAATTGTTTTCTGATTCATATCCATATGGCCTAATATCCCAACTCATGCATAAATTGTACAATTTTTTTTTGGTAGATAAATTAGCTTCTTTTGCATCCGTATCACTCTTCACTCTCTCAAGATGTGTGATTGAAAGTGAACCATGTAGGTTTAGATTCTGTAGTTCACCAAGTTGATAACCTTTCCCCTCGCCCACAATAAAGTAATCTAGAGTCTTAAGGCATGTCAATGATCCTATTCTTGGTGGCATAGAAGTTATTTGACAACCCTTGAACACAAGATTTCTAAGACTGCTTAGTTTACTTGTTTGTTTTGGAATATAATAAAGTGAGAAACAACATGATATATCAAGTGTCTGCAGATTTTGAAGCTTGCATAACCTCTTTGGAAGGCTACGAATGCTACTGCCATGCAAGTTCAACAGCCTTAAATGTATTAAATCTCCGATGGAAGATGATAACTGATCAAACTTTGAAAATTTCATATCAAGAACCCTTAGCGAGACAAACCTTTCCAAGATTAAAGGAGAATAAGAAGGCACCACTTCAGCAAAACCGATGGACATTGTATTTTTCTGTGCTACTCTTATTTGACGAATTTTGCTGCTCCTTGTGTTTGTTGAGAACAGAGATGTAGCCAAATCGTGGATGAGATCATGCATCTTGAAATAAGTATTACCAAATTTATATTCTTCGACCTCTTGGAAGAAAGACCTCAAGTATAATTCTTTCCATACTTCATTACCCACATCCTCTAACTCTAAATTTCCTTTTGATAAAAGAAAACCATGTGCCATCCAGAGAGTGATGAGATATTCCTTTTCTATTTTGGTGTCCTTTGGGAATACCGCACAATATGCAAAACATTGTCTCAAATCAAGTGGAAGGTGATGATAACTCAGCCTCAGGGAAGGCAAAACAGAATTTTCATCTTGAGGTAAATTCCAAATCTCACTATCTTTCACATGTTCCCATTCACTTTCTTCTCTCTTGAAGCGTAAAAGACCTCCAAGAGTCTTGGCTGCTAGTGGCACACCCCCACATTTCTTCACAATCTTTTTTCCAATCCCCACAAGGTCAGGATTTGTTTCCGTTTGGTGGCCAAATGCACGTTGCTTGAACAACAACCAACAATCTTCTGGAGACAAAATTGATAACTGATATGGTTGCCAAGTTCCCATAATTGATCCAACCCTTTCAAGACGAGTAGTGGCTAGAATAGAAGAACCTTGTGCTCCAACATTTAAGACTGCTTTTATCTTAGCCCACTTTTCTTGATCTTCATTCCAAACATCATCTAAAACGAGAAAGTATCTTTTTCCATTCAACAACTCCTGAAGCTTCTTCTGGAGGGGAGCCAAGTCCATGTCACCAAGTGGCCTTCTTTCAATAGATTCTACAATTGCCTTTATCAACCTCTTCTCATCAAAATCATCTGAGACACAAACCCATATCTTTAGATTGAAATGTGTGGTCACGCTCTGATCATTGAAGATCATTTGGGCAAGTGTCGTCTTTCCTAGTCCCCCCATACCAACTATTGGGAGCACTATATTAGTTCTTGGGCATTACTAACACTGTTTATCAAGATTTTCACGATCTCATCCTTCTCTTTGTCCCTTCCATAAACTTTTGGCTCTGCTAAAACAAAACCTGTTCACAAGCAATGCGAACACAAATTTTATTAAAATTCAAGCTCACTAAAAGGAGTCAGCAGGAATAATAGAAGATTTTTGCAAAACAAAAAGACACAAGGAAGGGCTGACATGGAACAAACATGTATAGAATCTGGTAACTACAAAAAGTTGAATATAAAACTAAGCTATTAGTAAGTACTTGGCTAAACACTGTTTTACAGTGAGTACCTGTTTCACGTTTAGCAGCTTGTTTCTCGACAATCTTTTCACGCAAATGAAACTTCCTTCTTTCGTCAGCAATTGCATCTAGTTTCTCCATCATTCTTTTCATTCTTTTTCTGAGCTTGTAACGAAAAATGATGATCGTTGGATGAATACACCCTAATAAGGACTGATTGAATCTTGCTGCCTCATTTTTACATTCATCCAAGATGTCATCAACTTCATATGCAGCAAAATTGAGTTTCTGCAACCAATTCTCTATCGCCTTGTCCTTCAGTTGCTTCTCCGAAGCATCTTCAAGCACAAGTTGGATTGTAGAAAATGTGCTTGAAAGCTTTTTGAAGTCGTTTTCAAAACCGAAAAGCAATACAAGTTCCCCTTGGATGAAAGAAGTGATATTGCCTAGTAGAACTTGAAGGAAAGCTTCAGCCATATGTTGGAATTCACTGTAACACAAAAGTTAATTGAAACAGATTAAAGTGACTGATTTATTCAAGATCATGTGTGTGGATTTTACAATAATTGATCAGTTTGTGAACGACTATTCAAAGTAAACAGCATATGTCATGACTTTCATTGCCACTACCAAGACTTTTCTTTCCACAGAACCAAATAACAAGGCATTCAGCATTCTAGTCAATATCACTACGTGGTGCTTCCTTTCCCATTCATTTTAGTATATGCTTTTGAAAAATGATGAGATAATATCTCAACTTGTAAAAGCTCTATAGATCCTTGAAAAATTTATTATTAAAGAAAAAAGGGAAAAATGTCTGAAATGTATCCGAACTTTGACCGAAATTGATGTAACAATCCCAAACTTTGGGTCGGACCTATTACCTCTGCACTATTTAATAGTGTATCTTAAAGATATATATGTGTCCACGTGGACAAGTTACTATTTATAATGATGCAATATTTATATATATGTGTCCACGTGGACAAGTGGCTAATAGGATTTGCATACATTGCTACCTTTGTTTCTAGATAGCAATGTAGATATTCTTGAGATATTGTAATCCAAGAATATCTATATATTTGAACCTCTTAGCCCTCATGAGATGAACCTCTTGAATTTAGAAAAAAGTTGGAAGTTACTTTGTCACAAGGTGTTTGGACCAAATGATTGTCATCCTCAAGAGTTGGAAGAAATTGGAAAGAAAATAGCGGAAAAATGCCAAGGACTACCCTTAACAATTTCAGTGATTGCAGGACATCTTTCTAAAGTGTCCAGGACATTAGGAAGTTGGAAGTATGTTGCCCAAACCTTAGGTGAAATCATTTCTAGTCATCCAAATAAATGCTTAGGAGTGCTCGGTTTGAGTTATCACCACTTGCCTAATCACCTCAAACCTTGCTTTCTTTCTATGGGTGGTTTCCCAGAGGATTATCAAGTTGAGACTTGGAGATTGATTCAATTATGGATCGCAGAAGGTTTTATAAGGAGGCCTGGAAGTGATAAAAGTTTGAGTGAAGTGGCAGAAGATTATCTGGAGGATCCTATCAGCAGGAATTTGATAATGGTTAGAAAAAAGAGATTCAATGGTGAGATAAAAGCATGTGGAATGCATGATCTACTGCATGAATTCTGTTTGACTGAAGTTGAACTGACAAAGTTTATGTATGTTGAGACAACCAACATAGTCTCGACTGTTTCTGCACAGAAGCATTTCAGTTTTCAAAAAAAACGCGGCTATTCAGCTATTGATCATTGCAATCTATTACCATCAAATGCCAGATCTATCTACTTATTTCCTGACTTTATGTTCAGAGTAAACCTTGAAGCTTTCTCCCATTTCAAGCTTCTCAGGGTATTGGCCGTATTCCATGGATATAAAAGTTTTCGTTCATTTCCACTTGTAATTACAAAATTATTTCATCTGAGGTATCTCCAAGTTCGATGTATTGGCAATCTTCCTGCATCAATTGCAGAGCTTCAGAATTTGCAAACTCTAATATATGGGACACAATATGGTTATACAACTTTACCAGAGAAGATATGGATGATGAAGAACTTGAGGTGTATACATATGGGGGAAGCCAGCTATTTACCTAGTCCTGGAAGAAAAAGTATCCTAAATAAGCATCTTGTGATAGGGATGCCAAATGTAGAGGAACTTTCTAATCTCTCTTTCCCCAGTTGTACAAATGAAGTCTTTTCTAACATTCCCAATGTAAAGAGATTGATCATCCAAAATACACCTTTATTGACAACCTTAGATAGGGCCAATCGCCTCATTGATATGTCCAGCTTAACAAAACTCGAAGCATTGAAGTGTGTCACCTACTGTTTTTGGTCTGGGCGGAAACTGATCTCCATCAAACAGTCTTTCCCAATATCACTTAAGAAGCTGACTTTAGCTGGCTGGTTTTCATTTCCTTGGAAAGATATGTCAACTCTTGTGATGTTGCCAAATCTTGAAGAGCTCAAACTTAAAGATAATGCAGCCGATGGTGATGTATGGAGATTAAGTGATGAAGACAAATTCCAAAGCCTAAAGTTTTTGTTATTTCGCGACATAAATCTTAAGCATTGGGAAGCTAGCAGTGATAACTTCCCATATCTAAAACGCCTTGTTCTGAAGAAATGCAAAAAACTTAAGGAAATTCCAATAGATTTTGGAGAAATTTGTAGTTTGGAGTCAATTGAATTACATAATTGCAGCACTCTTGCTGAGGAATCTGCAAGAAAGATTGAACAAGAACAAGAGGACATGGGAAACAATTGCCTTAAGGTCTACATCAATATATAGCACTCTATGTTCTTATCATTTGTTAGATTTTTGTTTTAGGAATAAGCATGTTGAATGCATGTGTTGCCAATTTGTGAGATCTCTTCAACTAGTTGTTGCACAAGATTTGCTATATATATATGTAGGAAAAGTAATATATAATATAATCTTTTAGCGAAGGGTGATGATTGTAGTTCTGCCTCTACCTATGTAACAGAATCGACTACAAAAAGAAGGCTTTTGTGCAGAATCACATGACATATAGTAGCATAGAAAAGAGTAGAGACATTTGTTTCTTAGAAAATGGTTTGCTCTTTTTCCAATTATTCCATAAGAAAGAGTTTCTACACTAGTTAGGTAAGAATTTAGGGGTGGAGCCAGTATTGTTGCTACGGATTTGACATAACCTAGTAACTTTAGTCTCAAATAACTTAATTTTTTTCGACCATTAAGTTCTTTTAAGAATTTTAATATAAAAGTTATATATTTAAAAACTATATAAAAAATACTACTAATCGTTATAACTAATAGTAGCACTTCGAGATAAAATGGGATGGAGTTGAGAAATCATCATTTTCCACTGTGTTGCCAGCTACATTTGCATCGAACGACTCCGCACGTCAAAAGGAATATAAAAATGACAATTCAATCTCAATTTGGATTCTATAGCTCACCATTTCAATCAAATACCTTTGTTTCAATTAATACTTTTATATATTACTATGGAAAAATGATGTGACAATTTTCTATATTTAATTAAGTTTTTTTAAAAAAAAAAAAAGTCTAACACATGGATAGTAATTGGAATATTTAATGGTTTAAAGTTAAAGTCCTTAAAGGCTGCCAAATTATGGCTAATTAAGACTAGCCAATCAATCACAATAAGTACAGACTTTAATATTTTTATTTTTATTTTTGGAACCCAAGATAATTCGCAGGTGCACTGACTAAATTTCTCACTGTGTAATAGTCTGCAAACCACACAAGGGATGTAAACCGCACTAGGCAAGCCCTATGCGACATGCTCGACTCAGAAGACATTGAGGGGGATCGATCATGGGTCATCCGTGTGGATAACCACCCTCCAAACCAATTGAGCCATCCCGAAGGACGACTTTTATATTTAATAATACTCATAAACAAGATATGAAAGAATGAACCTAATTAATATTATGAAATATGAATACTTTCTTCTTGAGATACTTCGTTTTTTTTTTCTTGAAATTCCACAAAAAATAATTCTTCACTTAACTTTCACATTTTTGCACTAAAGTTATTAAATACTTTTGTAACGAAAATACCACTCACTTTTTTCACGAGTATCACTAAATTTTCTTTATAGGAAACAAAAAATCACTCAAATTTATATAAGTTTCACAAAAGGCCATTAGGAGAAAATAAAACACAGTTTTTATATGACAATTAAACAAAATTGAATCACTTCTTTATACCAAAAAAAAGTTATTTAGTGGCTTCCTGTGATTTTCACTTAAGTATAAACTAATAACTTTAGTGTTTTTATGATAAAATAAAAGTTAAGTGACCATATGTGAAATTATTATATTGTTAATGAAAAACATGTAGTGAAAATTAGCATCCCAACTCATGTTCAATGTATCATTACATAAATTTGTAAAAGGAAAATTACGTTCTGTGTCTAATTTTGAAAATACTTTTTGTATAAATACACGATTTTTAATCCATACACCTTTTATACAAGTTTGATACATTTTAATATTGTATATTTGGCTACGTGACGTAAATATTTTTTAAAAAGTTGTATATTTTTTGAAAATTTCCTTATTTGGAATGTTCTTTTAAGATGAACCAATTTGAGAATTTTGGTAAGATTGAAACACTAGAAGGTTTCAAAGTAAAATATGTTAAGCCCAAAATTATTGGTGTTCTAAAGTCTTAATCAATCACATGTTAATTCAACTTATTTGTTAATATATATATATATATATAACTTATTAAATCCACTTTCATAAGCAACATATCCATCAAAATATTTATTTCCTTTACTTACTAAAATGGAGATTCAACTTTCTCTATTCAACTTATTTCCTTTGTTTCTCTTCTTTTCATTTCTTTTTATCCTATTGAAGAAATGGAACACAAAACTCACAAAGTTACCTCCAGGTCCATGGAGACTTCCTCTTATTGGAAGCCTCCATCACTTGAAGGGGAAACTACCACATCACAATCTTCGAGATTTAGCTCGAAAACATGGACCTCTCATGTACTTACAACTCGGAGAAGTTCCTGTAGTTGTCATATCATCACCTCGTATAGCAAAAGCTGTACTAAAAACTCATGACCTCGCTTTTGCAACTAGGCCACAGTTCATGGCCTCAGACATTGTGTTTTACAAAAGTAGGGACATATCTTTCGCCCCATATGGTGATTACTGGAGGCAAATGCGTAAAGTGTTGACACAAGAACTACTTAGTAACAAGATGCTCAAGTCATATAACATGATCCGAAAAGATGAGCTGTCAAAGCTCCTCTCATCGATTCGTTTGTCAACAGGTTCTGCAGTAAACATAACAGAAAAGCTTCTCTGGTTTACCAGCTGCATGACCTGTAGATTAGCATTTGGAAAAATATGCAACGATCGAGATGAACTGATCATGTTAATAAGGGAGATATTAGCATTATCAGGAGGATTTGATGTGTGTGATTTGTTCCCTTCCTGGAAATTACTTCACAATATGAGTAACATGAAAGCTAGATTAACAAATGTACATCATAAGTATGATCAAATCATGGAGAATATCATCAATGAACACAAAGAGAATCATGCAGCAGGGATAAAGGGAAATAACGAGTTTGGTGGCGAAGATATGATTGATGCTTTACTGAGAGTAAAGGAGAACAATGAACTTCAATTTCCCATTGAAAATGACAACATGAAAGCAGTAATTCTGGTAAGTTTTGATCCAACATAATACTAATATACTCTGTTTACTACAGGGTACTAAATACTAATAAACGTTCATGTATACGTTCTTGCAGGACTTGTTTATTGCTGGAACGGAAACTTCATATACTGCAATTATATGGGCATTATCAGAGATGATGAAGCACCAAAATGTTATGGCCAAGGCACAAGCTGAAGTGAGACAAGTCTTTAAAGAGAAGGAAAATCTCGATGAAAATGATCTTGACAAGTTGCCATACTTAAAATCAGTGATTAAGGAAACACTAAGGATGCATCCTCCAGTTCCTTTGTTAGGACCTAGGGAGTGCAGGGAGCAGACTGAGATTGATGGATATACTGTACCGCTTAACGCTAGAGTAATGGTCAATGCATGGGCGATTGGAAGAGATCCTGAAAGTTGGGAAGATCCTGAAAGTTTCAAACCGGAGAGATTTGAAAATATTTCAGTTGATCTTACAGGTAATCACTATCAGTTTATTCCTTTTGGTTCAGGAAGAAGAATGTGTCCAGGAATGTCGTTTGGTTTAGTTAACACTGGGCATCCTTTAGCCCAGTTTCTATACCAATTCGACTGGAAACTCCCCGATAAGGTTAATGCAAATGATTTTAGTACTACTGAAACAAGTAGAGTTTTTGCAGCAAGCAAAGATGACCTCTACTTGATTCCCGCAAATCCCAGAGAGCAAGAATAGCTTCAAATGGAGTTAATAGAAGAATAAAGGAAGAGATTACAGCATTTTCTTTAATATGTGTTTGTTCATTTTCTTGTTTAAAGTGTACCCTGAAAGATAAAGGGCTATATAAGTGAGACTTTTTCCTACTTTACTATTGTGTATCATATTTAATAAAGTTTATTTAAGTCATAATAATTAGTCTAATTTTGACCAATTACATTCATTTCAAGTGTAAAAATCTAGGAATGGAACTTCCAATAACAAGCCTGAGTTGTATGACAAAGGATCAAACTTAAATGTTTACACCATGAAAGAATCTGTATAAGATGGTTCAAGGTACTTCTTTTCCAGGACACAACAAAAATCTCAATTAGATTGTTCTCTCCTTTCTATAAAACAAAACTAGTAATAGTAGCCAATTTCACAATCTTCATATTTCCATGCTCCCAGATACCCAATGTGATCAGGCTAGTTCTACTCACAGACAACAACAACTTACCCAGTATAGTCCCGCAGGTGAGATCAGGCTAGTTCTACTCACAGATGTATTTATTACATAAAGAATATTATGCAGCTAAACTTTCTCATCTCAGTTGCAATTTTGTGACTTATGACCTGAAAATCAGTAGCCGTGTCGCTTTCGTCTATTGTCTTCTGGTCTGCCTCTTCTTGATGAAAAGGCTGTTTTCGAATCACCAGTCTTCTTGGTATATCCATGTTTGAGAGCTACAATTGGATTTAAGTACATCATTCCAGGAGAGTGTCTTTTCTCTCTCGGAAGTGCTCTTAACTCTGGCAACCAGTATGCAACAAACTCCCCTTCAGGATCATAGTTTTGAGCCTGAAACATGTAAAAGTGCTTAGAATAATATCTGCTTCATTGAGAGGTAATAGATATAGCATTCACTAAACTGTTAACATAGGAATGATACACCTTGTTGATTTATTCCGAGAACGTGATTATACTAAAATACAGATTTGATTAGTTATTTCACTTACTTGCTTCGGAATGCTGAAGTAACGGTCTTCTCTAGGGTCATTGCCAACACCTGACAGAAATGGAATGATGGTAACTTTCAACTTACAATTCCAACTTCCAGTTCAGAGAAAGTGGAGATATCAAAGCTAGATAATAAAGGGAGAATCACCTGCTCCATATGTCCAGTTGCCATAGTTGGAGCAAGGATCATAATCCAAGAGGCATGTCTCAAACCATTCAGCTCCCATCCGCCAGTCGATGCCCATATCTCGAACAAGAAAAGAACACACAATCTGGCAAAAGACAATAAGATATTTTTAAAATGACAATTCCTTTCTTGATTTACCCAGAGAAAACAAGAGCTATAATTAGAATGCAGTAAATATCGGTCTTTCTTGATGACTTCCAGAGTGTTTTCTAGCTT